CTGCTGACTTGTACCAGTCTGTTTCCTGTGGCACTCAAAGAACATGCTTAGAGACATTGTTGTGAAAATCAATGTATCGTCCACAGTGCGTCATTCCTGACCAAGACGGTGCCGTGCGGAAATGAACTACACAAATTTCTGATATGGGATACAGCTGGACAAGAAAGAGTGAGCGCATCCACATGCAGTTCTCATTTACTTACTATTAGCTTTATGTTTACACACATGACACCAGTCATTTAAGTTTTTTAAAGTAATTTTCACTACATTTTGCATCAGGAACCTGGCAGTGACACAATCACTTCACTGTCATGACATGGAGTTATTATTGGGTGTGAAATAGAATGATTCACGAGCCTGGTATCATCACCATAATGATTCATTTGATTGGGGGAGGTGGCATGTGTAGTTAAAGCTTTCCAGCTTTGCTTACTGCATGGAAAAACTAGCACAAGTATTTCCTGCTTGTGTATAAAAAAATTATACAAGTACTTTGAAATCTCTGTTTCCAGGGTTTAAAGTTCTCTCTGTCTGAGACGCTGACATTACCTCTGTAAAAACCCAGAGTTTAGTAAGACAGAATGTTTTTGGGCAGTTTATTTGAAGAAATGATGTCACTGGCAGCATGCAACATAAAGATGGTGTGAAGTGTTTGACCACTAGAGGCACTGTAGAGCAACGTTTGAGTGAGAACCCATATTGTTCATATTGCATGTACTGCCACGAGCACAGGGATGATGTGATACACATTTCTGCTGACTGCATTCGGTGGTATTGCAGATCAACAGATGTGGAATGTTGCTTAATTGTAGTAGTGTGCCAGTAAATGAGGTGAAGAAGTCTGCAAGCTGATGTAAATAGTGCCCCCCACCTTACTGATTTTCAATCTGTAACAACAACTGACTTTGGCTCAGCTTCTTTTTTTTTTTTTTTTTTATGTTGGAAGAGATCTAAGGTCGGACGTTGCATGTTTTCCCTGTGCCTGAGGGGGTTCTTTTTTTTTGGGTACTCCAGCTTCGTCCCACAGTCCAAAGACATGCAGCTTAGGTTGACTGGCGACTCTAAATTGCCTGTAGGAGTGAGTGTGTGTGCTTGTCTAAGTGTCAGCCCTGTGACAGACTGACGATCTGTTCAGGGTGGACCCCACCTCTCACCCAGTGTCAGCTGGGATTGGCTCCAGCCACCCATGACCCTATTCAGGCATAGTCTGCTCGTAGTCATTTATTTCACATGTAGATTAGTTTAGCTATATTGGGCAAGAGCTGTTTTAGAAGTAATGTATGTATAACTTTGCTATAGAACTAAAAGTTTGCAGTGATTCATTGATCAAGCTATCTGCTTTAAATGTGTGTGTGTGTGTGTGTGTGTGTTTTTAGTTCCACTCATTAGCTCCTATGTACTACCGGGGATCGGCGGCTGCTGTCATTGTCTATGATATTACTAAACTGGTAAGTATAACAGAGCTCTCATCATGTCTAAATCAGAGGAGTGATAGTAAATTAAACTTGGGTTTGGTCAGTGGTCAAAATGAATAACAGCCTTTTTCTATAACTAATTATTGTTGAAATGTTCTTGAGCAGTGCCCTCCGACCCTAACGGTACCAGTGGATCTGCTCCTTGGCGTTTTTAGAAGTGTGTGTATACGAAGAAGCTGTTTTCACACTAAAAGCTTGATGTAAAATTCAGTTACTTTTCCATCAGTCTGGCATACTTTGCTTCACTAACCTACAAATGTCATTCTTTCCTGGGCTGTTAATGGAAACTTGTCTGAAAACCACAATCTAATGCAATGAATATGTGACACGTGGAGAAAAATGCTGGACACTCTCATAAAGTACTTATATAAGATTTGACCATGATGTGTTTGCGTTGTTCAGGACTCCTTCCAGACACTGAAGAAGTGGGTGAAGGAGCTGAAGGAACATGGTCCAGAGGACATTGTTGTAGCCATAGCAGGGAACAAGAATGATTTAGGAGACATCAGGTGAGCTGCTGGTCGGGGATTTTATGATGTTAAAGCAATATTACACAAATTACTAACTACTAGACAAGAACAGGCTAATTTTTAATAGATCTATGTTTATTATAAAGCACATCGCTTGAACATGAGCTTCTTTTTTATTCAACAGAAATGTAATTTTCTCTTTGTAGCTTCATTATTTGCTCCTAACTCTGGCTCATTTTACTGTATCACTTCTTTTAAGACTCTGCTCAGCGAAGTCTCGCCTTTAGCGAACAAGGTGTCTGTGTTTTTGTAAATAAAGGCTCATTGCTGTGAGCAAAGTAATAGTCAATTCTTGTTTAGCCTGTTATATAGCTCAAGTCTGTTGATCCAAGAAACTGCCTGGCTGTGTTAAGATATACACACCAAGAAGAATATATCTTTTATCTTGTGTCCATAAGAATGTTCAAATATCTCAAACAATCCACAAATAAAGAGTGATTTAACAATCAATATATGTGCCTGTGTTAATTTAGTCATTGCAAAAATGTATAGTTAAGGGCCCAAGCCAATGACTGAACAGTACAAAAACATAAGCTACAAATAAACCCCTAAAAATCATCTTCATCAGAGGAAAAACTAAATCATAAAATGTGGTTGAACCACGCGGTTATAAAATAAATGTGTGGTCATCTTTAATGTTCTTTATTCAATTTGTTACCGTGAGCAGCACCTAGATTTTGGTGTAGATTCACCCAACTCATTTGTAATAACATTTGTGATTGTGTTGCCCACAGTGTTGAATACTGTCCCTCCAGGCCACCGTAAATTCTATCTCATTGATTTCAGTCAGAAGCATAGAAGTGGCTTTGTGCCCAGGCTTCTACTTGGATGTACTTATTTGTTTTTAGTCGCCCTGTGGATGGTGACAGCACTAATATAAGATGGAAACTGTAAAGTTTCTTTCAAGAATTTTACTCAAGTGTCATACAATGGCAGAATGGCACTATTTTGGGACAGTTTCATCTTTTTCATTTATACCTTGCCTAGTCCTCCTCCGTGTATCGTCCTCTTCAGTAGTGATGGCGTGAATGAAGTCACAGAGGAACATTTTGATTTGCCAGGAGACTTTATCTGTGAACTCCATATTTACTTTCATGTCCTTCTCTTTTACAGGGAAGTTCCTATGAAGGAAGCCAAGGAGTTTGCAGAATCAATTGCGGCTATTTTCATTGAGACTAGTGCCAGAAATGCTGTCAATGTAGAGGAGCTCTTTCAGAAAATCAGTAGGTGTCACGTCTTTATATTTTGTCTGTATCACATGTGTCTGTATATGCTGTATTGTTTTGGAAGTTCACAGTAAAGAGGAAGAATACAGCTACTGATGTAAAGCAGGTGATGAAGTAAGTGAAATGTAGTGAGATAAATTATTGAAATACAGTAAGAGTGCTATATTCTTACAGAACGGCAAGAGAAGTGACTGTAAATGTAGTAGGGGCACTCCAGTAATTTAATATTTTACTTCCATAAAGCTTAAAGCAGCAGAGGCGACTATGTCCTGATTTTTGTTTCTAGTATGGGTCAAGTTCCACAAATGCTGGATCCTATATTTCCCATAATGCGATTCAGCATTGTGTTTCATTAGACCTCCCTGCTTCATAGATGCTCACTTCTTATAATCCTGGGTTTCTGTTAAAGATTCCTTCTAGATATGCTTTAAGACATATAAAACCACTCTGCTTGAAGTAATAATTTGTGTATGATAGGTTATGTCCACAAATTGGTGAAATGATATTGTCAATAGTCAATGATTTCTGACCTGCCCTGGGTGTACCCCACCTCTCGCCCAGTGTTGGCTTGGTAGGTTCCAGCAGTATAGATAATGGATGGATGGAATTAGTGAACTGCCCCTCAGCAGATGAATTTGAAATCATAGTGCTGTATCCAACTATTTCTGAAATGTATTTCAAGTAAATAACTGTTACAGTGGTTAGTGCTGGCGTCTCACAGCAGGAAGGTTCTGGTTTTGAGCCCCAGCCGACCCGGGACCTTTCTGTCTAGAGTTTGCATGTTCTCCCTGTGCCTGTGTGGGTTCTCTCTGGGTACTCCAGCTTCCTCCCACAGGCCAAAGACATGCAGCTTAGGTTGACTGGTGACTCTAAATTGCCCGTAGGAGTGGGTGTGTGCGGTTGTCTGTCTTTAAGTGTCAGCCCCGTGATAAACTGGCGACCTGTCCAGGGTGGACCACGCCTCTCGCCCAGTGTCAGCTGGGATTGGCTCCAGCCCCTTGTTAGGATAAGCAGTATAGATAATGGTTGGATGGAAGTTATTGAGGATGTTTTGGTTTTACAGTATGTATTGTAACAAGTAAAGCAGTGGCTCTGGCATTTTTAAATTGCTGTTAGTAATAGACGTAGTAACAGTGCACTACCAAAGAGATTGCAATATTAGCAAAATTCTGATATGGCAGCTCTGTAAATGACCCTGTGGCATGTGTTTAGGTAAACAGATTCCACCCCTGGAAAATGCTGAGGTGGACAGCAACGAGTCCTTTAAACTCACCCAGCAGCCAGCCCCGTCCACCCGGAGATGCTGCTAGTATCAACGGCGGCTGAACAAATGACTTCATTCGGTACCAGGGACTCCACCAGCACAGCACATAGTCCATAATGCACACGGTGTCTTACTCTAAAGAAAGACAAGACAGTAGACAGACAGAGATCAGCTTTCACATGTGGCCAGGTGCAACATGAATGAGAAAAAGCCTGCCAACAATATTACATGGGTCAATGCAATTCATTTGATTGTAGCAGTTTTAAATCTGATGAGGTTAGGAAGCAAAACGTCTTTAGTTTGTTCCCCTCTGGTGTTTTTATGCCTGAATTATATTGGGATTTCTGACTGTGTGCTATGCTACATAGCTCATTATAAAGAGGCAGTTTTATCCCACTATCTATAATAATTTTAACCCAATATCAAGCGATTTAGCTGATGTGTTTTTAAAGCTGGGTTTTGGTTGTTGATGGTTTTCAGTTCAAGAGTCAGCTGCTCTGTAAATTTTCAAGCACTGTGGCTCTTAAATCGCACACTTTTTTTTTCAATGAATGTTTTTTTTTTATATTTTTTTTTAATCAAGTATACACTTTCTCTTCTTTTGGAACTTTTGTTTACAGATTTTTATTAGCATGCTTGAATAAGGTTAAGACCGAACCACAGATGAGTATTCAGTTGTATAGCTCAGATACAGCAGCTTTACATTCCACTTCATCGTGTGCTTTCACACACATTTGCTGTATAAGGGTTTAACTGTGATCCTGCAAACTGAACAGCTTAGAGGCATAAAATCATAATTACAGTAGGACACCCCCTGTTGAAACACTGTGACCAATACAAGCATTGTTTACATAGCGATGTGTTAAAAATGTTTTTTTTACATGCTGACATGTATTGTATGAGATTTCACTACAGGGAATGACTGCATACAACTGCCAAACATGAGAACTGTTTTTACCTGAATAAGGGTTACATTTATCCTGGAAAGAAGAGAAAAGATCTGCATGCATTTTAGTTTAAACATGTCAGTTTCAGAAATGTTGTGTGGTGTATACTAACCAAACTGTAAAAGAACTATGGGAATACAGTCTTACCTTTTGGCTTGAAAAAAAAAAAAAACGGTAATAACAAAACAGTCCAGAGCTCACTTGTGCAAAATTAGATTATGTATTGTGCTTGCTGCTGTTTCTTTGGCAGTAATACCCTTGGATTTGTCCACTTCAGAAATTTATGACACTTTTGCATACTTTGACCACAGTATTTGTTTGGACTAGTATTAGTTACTTTTTAAAATGTTTTTGAAATGTTGAAACAGATGCAGTACTGCATAACTGTAGCACTTAAAGATCTAAAGTTAATTTTGATGGATACAAAACTGTTTCCTATGGTACATTTTTACTTTGTCAGTTAAAATTGTATCCACATCTTTGGGTTAGTGTGGCAGTGTGTAACAGTTTTGTTGTAGAAATATGTTTCGAAACTTGTCTTAATGTGGAGAGGTGCTGTCGAAACCACCTGTGGCCCAGACTCAATGAACAGCATTGGCAGCAGTGCAGAGATATTAGCTTCCAAAAGGTTTTTGAACAGGACTGACCTCTTGATCCAATCAGATAATTTCAGTTATTTCTGCTTGTTCAGTAAGTTTTGTTGCATTTTCATTTATTGTAATTTCATTAAAGGGAGTTTTTCCATCCCACTGTCACCAAGTGCTTGCTCAAGGGGGATTTGTTGGGTTTTTCCCCAATAATAATAATAATAATAATAATAATAATAATAGTAAGGTCTAGACCATACATTGTAAAGTGTCCTGAGACACCCTTTGTTATGCTTTGGTACTATACAAATAAAACTGAATTGAATTGAAAACATCTGAAGAGCTGGACAGAGCATGGTGGAGTGTAGCAGATTGTAGTAGAGCACAGTGGAGCAGGGTGAGGGAGGGCTGGGTGGAGTAGAGTGGATTGATTTGGAGTTTTCATGCTACACTACCTTAAGTTACATACTGTAGCTTTAATGAAGCTCAGTTCTGCTTTTTTCATGTAATCTAATTTTACCAGTACAATTCATTTTCTTAATGAAAAATCACATTTTCTAATTATTGTGGTTTTGCTTATTGGAAAAACATTATATAGTGCGTTCCTCCCAGTACATGATGTCACCTGAGTTTTTCTGAAATTTGAGGTTTCCATGACTAAATACAATGTCTCTTATGTTGTATAATCCATCAGAGGTCTTTACCAAAAGCACATGTTAACCTTATGACTACAGTCTTCCACCATAATGTAATATATTGATTAGCTGAACTTAATGCGACTTTCCAAGTGGACCAGATGTACAGTACACCAAAATTTATCAGCAAATTTATAAAAACATTATAAAACATAGTTTTCAATGCAGTCTGGCTTGATATTACCTCTGTATAAAATACAATGACATACTGGGCAAAAAAATTATATTAGAATTTAAATGTTGCTATTATAATGAGATTTCCAACAGGTACTGTATTTGTTGTCACACAAGTGCCTTATTTATTTTCCTAAACAAATATATGATGTGGCTAAAAAAAAGTGCATACTGCTAGAATACTGCATGAATTACTATTTTAATTCAGTACAAACTGTACACATAAATCATCTTGCAGCCACCCTAATGCACCCAAGTCACGCTTCTTTGTATTTTCTGTAGATCAGATTAATGTCTGTATATTAATCAGTGTAATAAAATAACTGTTCTATTTTCTGTTTTGGTCTTATGTTACCTTTTTCCATGTAAATATAACATCTGTTTTGCAGTATTTATTGGTGACACTGGAACCCTTGTAAAGGATCACAATATAGCCTCTGATTTTATGACACCTCAGACATCTAACTTCAATATTAAAAATGACTAAATTTGGTTTTGGAATATGAAGCCTTTACTCCAGTCACTTCGTGCATTATTTCAAAAGTATGCCAGTTTTATTATAGATATATACTATACTATGTATATGAAATCAAATTTATTAATTCAATATACAGGTAAAATCATAACCATGCTAGGTTGCTAATTTTACCAAAACACGTTAGTTTTTGATGCTAACCCATCAAGAAGGGAAAACGCCACATCTGTATCATATCTTTTGGTTGTTTTTAACACTGTATCTCAAAAAGACAAACCCAGAACCCTGGTTTTTGCTCTTTCTGTTCCAAAGAATGCCACCTCTTCTGTATGGCAACCACGCTCCTGAAAAAATCAAGGCAAGAAAATTTCTAACAAATTTTCAAATAATATTTTATAGATCTAAATAATAGGGGTGGCAGCTGCCCACTTTGACTGGATGGTAATCCAGTCCTGATCATAAGGTTGTTGATACTAAATACAGTTCAAATATTTCGGTAACTATATAGATTAGGGCTGAGGATTCGTGTTATTTTATGTTTCTTTCGGTATGGCTATTACTTTAGGTCCTGAGCCACGAGGGCGCGCAACAGGAATGTGTACTCGACGCGTTCACGTATTTGTACCCACATGCGCGTTCGCACAGCTCAGTCAACATTTGACTCACTAGTGACAGGGGTTCTAGGATTTCCACTTCTCAGTTACTCCCGCTACTGAAACTAAGTGCATTCCCTCAGCAAAAATGTCAAAGTTGGATCAGGTCCTTGTCCTTGACCCTCCTTCCGACCTCAGATTTAAAGGTAAGTGAATGAACATTTCTTAACGTGTGAATTGTCCAACGAGTACTGGTGGAAAATTGCCTTATTACAATCCCTCCAGCGAATTTCACTAGCAGCCAGCTAGCTATCGTCCACCGCCATTTTAAGTTAGCCAGGGACAAAACGGGCCGCTGTCTCCTCGCGCTGTAGTGACGTGGATAGCCGGCGTGGCGTGCTACTTGCCGGCCTGCCATTTATGACAACACCTGGCAAAGTGGTGGCAGCTTCTAGTGCCTGTAAAACGGAGCTGAAATGAGCATATAAGGCAGCATGTTTGCTAATGTCCTCACTTTAGTAACAACGTGAGCCTCTGTGCTGTTGCTAGCAAGCTGTTGTTTCCTTGTGGTTTTGCCTGTTCCCTGAAATGCTTGCTGTTCATAACCCGGACGTTATGTGGAAGGAAATTAACTCTATTCACGTTAAGCTACGAATGAAGCGTCCAAAACGACATACTTCTGACAGACGTTTTGTTATGTCAGACTGCTGAAGTGACTTGTCAGTCGGAATGACAAACTTGGCTAACCGGTGTTAACGTAGTTAAATAATAACAAAACACAATTTTCAGTAAACTGAGCTAATGTTCATTCGTTTCTCCTAACTTCATTAGCTGCATAGGACATACGCAACATGTATCTAATAACAGTATTTACATTCATAGGCAACTAATTCACACATTTGATCAACACTGACCCCTTGTCTGGCAGTGATATAGTTAAGTGATGTGTCAATTAGCCGTTGGCTAACGTCAGCTAGGCTACAGTAGCTTTCTGATGCAAAAGTTGATAGCGAAATAGCTACATTGATGGCTACTCCCCAACAACAAACTGACATGTTTTACGTTTGGCAGACCTATCAACTGTGTCTCATCACTTAAGGCATTCATTCATAGATGTGTTTTTTTTTACACCTATGATTACAGCTGTTGCACTTATTAGTCAAGTGGTCATTACAGGTGATTGAGGTAACAGTAAAACGGAATTATGCTGCTATAATAAGTGCATGTTTTGCTGTAGCCAGTCTTCCAAGGTCCATGGTATTGTAAAACACTTTATCAAGGCCAATTATTAATTTGACCCAAATTTCTTCTCTGCATTTCTGTATTTGTGCCACTTACTGACCTATACTGTTTTATTGTTAATGAATGTGCCACTGTCATGGAACCAAGATTTACTTTGCCATATCCTCTGGAAGATCCTAAGATGGTGATTGTTAGTACTAGGTATGAGTGGACTTGTTTGGTCACCAGTTCAAATACCAAACAAAAGAATATCTTTGGGTGGAGTATAGTCATTGAGATGTTTTTATGATGAGGTGCCATATTGTGAAACTGATTTGTTACACCTGTTTACACAGTTCAGATCCTACACCTGATGATCTTACAGGTTGAGGTGAAGCAAGAAGAGCTCGCATTGATCCCCAAATTTGTAAACACTCTCTTTGCTTTGGAAGACTTGATTTTTTTTTTTCCTTCAAATTTGCAAAAGTTTTTTTTCTCTTCTGTTAGGCAAGTGGCTGCATCATCAGGTGCAGCGTTTATGATGGTGATCTGCAAGATGCACGCAGGTGTCCCAATCACTGATACTGCAAGTGAATGAGGCTGAAAATAAATGAAACTCATCTTGAACTGAGCTGAAATCCAGCTAGTTAAATGTAAAAGTTCATCATACTCGCTAATCTTGTACTAATCAAACTTGCATGCGGTTTGTGCTACAGGTTACTGGTGCTTTAATTATCAATTTCTTAAGTCAGATTGTTGAAAGGCCAACAGAGACATCAGGAACTTCCTTGTTTTACCTGGCTAAAAATTTCTACTTGACTTATTCTGGTCACTAATCATTGACATGGTTGACATTTTATCCTAGGAGAATAAAGTTTTAAACTTGTATACTGTATTTAATGCAAGGCTAATTCAGTGTCCTGACAAAGGTGGTTTTGATACTGATCACCTTTAATTGATAATTGTAACAAGCTGTTCTATTAGATTATACATGCTTTGTTGACAGTGCAAGAAAATAGAACAGCTGGTAGTAATTGCTAATTATTACCAGCTGTTCAGGTTTCTTGCCCTCTCAACAAAACATGTGTAATCTAATCTGAGGCATGAAGAAGAAAATCCCAGTGGCTGAGTCTGGAAATCATTATGGTTTAAATGAAATGTAAATCATAATGCAAATATATTTGTATTTTTTCTAGTAGGATGGTAACTAGCGAGCTTAAAGTTACACCAATGGTAGATCTGCTCTATAATTTTAATAGTCCTGGTTTTTAACCTTTTGCACATGCAGGCCTGAGTCTGAATATAGTGCATAGTGCAAAGTGTTTGGAACTTGGAATACACTTATTTAACCCTGGTATGATTCAGCAGATTGATTTTATCTAAACCAAATTGCTAATTGAAAGAGAAAGGAACATTTAGTTTGGACAGCAACAGAGAGGAAAATTAAATGGATTTTGTACTGCTTTTAAGAAGCAATATGAGGAGAAGGAACATGACCACAGCTCCTTTACTGTCATGGAGACTGAGCTAAATCAGTCTCCATGTATCTGAGAGCTGGTCTGTTTTAGAGCCTCTGCTGGGATTCCTCCAGCAAGCTAGAGGGGGCAGCCCTCCTTTTCTTGGTTAGTATTTTTAGACTAGGACTGGCCTGGGGGACCCTAATTCAGTATAGATGCAATAAGGTGACTGGTAACTGCTGTTTTAGAAAATGTGGCATGTCAAGATGTAGGCAATGGGTGCAGGCTATGTGGGTGTGTATTTAGGTAGGAAGGTAGGTAGGTAGGTAGGTAGGTAGGACTTTATTGATCCCACAGTGGGGAAATTCCTGTGTTCCAGCAGCAAAACACCATAAGAACAAACACTGCACACATATCTTGAGAGAAAAATTCCAAAGTACCTAAAACCAAACAGAATATAGTATATCAGACAATCAAGAACAAGAATGATCCTCCCACAATTAATCCCTGAGAACAAATCAAAATACCTAAGAACAAGAAAAAATATAGTATTCAAGAAATCAAGGACAAGAATATTACTCCCATAATTAATCCCACACTGGGGGAAATACCTGTATTTCAGCGATGAGGATCTCTGAAAAACTACTCAAATACCTAAAACAAGACAATTAGAGAAAACCCAAGGACAAGATTTTACACGTGCATATTTACAATGCATTTTACCCCCAGAATTTGAGTATTACACCCCAGTTGACTATTACATAGTCCCTCATAATTTCACCTATCTTATCACTGCAGTGCTGTATTGTACAGTCTGATGGCTGTGGGGAGGAATAACCTATGGTAATGCTCCTTCTTGCACTGGGGATGTAGCAGTCTTGTGCTGAAAGAACTATTCAGAGCCACCACTGTGTGGTGCAGGGGATGGGAGGGATTATGCATGATGGATGTTAGTTTTACCAGCATCCTTCTGTCTGCCACCTCCTTGATGGAATCCAGAGGGCAGCCCAGGACAGAACCAGCTCTCTTAACCAGATTTTTAAGTCTCTTTCTTTCCCTGTCTGTGCTAGCTCCTGCCCAACCCACAACAACGTAAAAAACTGCAGATGCCACCACAGTGTCATAAAATGTCCAAAGGAGTGTCCCACGCACACATCAAAGGCCCTCAGTCTTCTCAGCAAGTGGAGGCAGCTCTGGCCCTGTCTGTACAGGGCATTTGTGTTTTTGGTCCAATTCAGTTTATTGTTGAGACGGACACCCAGGTATTTAAAGGTGTCCACAATCTCAATATCTGAGCCCTGCAAGCTCACCGATGTGAGTGGTGGTGATTTCTGCTGGAGGTCAATCACCATCTCTTTTGTCTTGCTGGTGTTCAGGACCAGGTGATTTTTCTCGCACCACTCCACAAAGTCAATAACAACCCCCATATATTCCCCCTCATCCCCCCCCGATACACATCCAACAATAGCAGTGTCGTCCGAGAACTTTTGTAGGTGACAGTGGTGGGAGTTGTACTTGAAGTCCAACGTGTAGAGGGTGAACAGAAAGAGGGAAAGCACCGTCCCCTGGGGTGCCCCCATGCTGCAGACTACCACGTCCGGCACACAGTCGCGCAGCCTTACAAACTGAGGTCTGTCTGTGATGTAGTTAATGATCCATTCAGACAGGTGTTGGTCCACACCTGCCCCCGTCAACTTCCCCTTCAGGAGTGACACCTGGATTGTGTTGAAAGCACTGGTGAAGTCAAAGAACGTGACTCTCACAATACTTCCGGGGGACTCCAAGTGAGATAGGGCTCAATTCAGCATGTAGATAATAGCATCATCTACCCCGATGCCAGGTCGATATGCAAACTGCAACGGGTCGAGCGCCGAGCTCACTTGGGCACGGAGGTGGCCGAGGACGGTCCTCTCCATGGTCACGATCTGATGCATACAACTGCTTTCCAGTGTTTAAGTGACTTCAGTCTTTGTTTTGGTGAAGCTCACAGGATGTGAGCAACATTAGTCAACATTGGTGTTGAATGATAAATTGTTTTTTCATCATGATATGCAATAAACACAACAGAAGACTGCCTGAAATGGAATGGATGAGAAAAATAATTTCATTTGCACATGCCAAGCATTCACACTGAACTTGCGAACATATGTTGTCACTGGTGGTCATATTCTGAGTGTAACTTGATCAGTTAAATTGAGCCTCTACCTGCCAACCACTGGCTGCGCACCAGTTATAAAGAGAAGAAGACGCCGCACTGGAAAACACAGTAGGACATGCCACATAGACCTGATATTTGTGCTTTACTGGAAGGGTTTTCTAGCAGTGTGGTCTACTTTTACAAGAGAAAAGACTTCAGTGGTGGTGACTAAGTGGTTGGTTTTGCATGTGTGTGTTGGTTTTGTTTGCCCATCTGCATTAAAGTGTAGCACATAGCCTTCTCCGGCTGTTTCTGGGAGATGCATCCAGGACTCTCTCCTATCCAGTGAGGAGGCAGTCCTGGAGGAAGAACGGAGGAGTAAGGAAAATGGTTGGTGAAGATCTTGTGATGGAAAAAGAACAGCACTTCTGCTGTTTGGAATTATTTGTTACACACAGAGGAACTGTGTACAACATACCAAACAGGTTCACCTGGTGGAAACTCCCCAGGTCACATGTAAGGTAGCAGTGAAAGAAATTTTATAGCTAATATGCACACTTCAATATCTTGTTTATTTATTGCAAGTCATATCATCATTGCAATATTATTGCACGTCACATTTTGCTAGTTACTTCCTTCCACAAGTTTATAATCTTGCAGTAACCATCTTTGTCACCATAACCTTGCAGGAGGCACCTCATATTCTTTATAAAAGCTATACAGAAAGAATTAAGATGCTCGAAGCAGAGAGAGAGAGAGAGCGAGTGTGGACGCGCGCGCACATAGCAATATCAGCTCTGGCAGACACGGTGCCAGGTTTTTCAGGTTTGTAGGAATGTCTCTGACACACCTGTGTTGAAAAACAATGCCCAGTCGTCATCGTAGCTCTACAGTACATGTTAGCAATAGCTGGGTGGAGCCATTCAAATTGGGTCATGTATTGCTTCCTATCTTTCTGAACACCAGATGTGACGGAAGGTTGGTTGTGGGCTTCTTGAACTCCAGTGCTCCTGCCAGGCTGTTAAACATATAGAAAGTAAAAGAGAATATTTGATTTGGAGCAAGTTTATCACCAGGAGTTTGCCTTCAAACACTCAGTAATTTATACATAGCAGTGCTAACCTGAGACAAGTTTCACTAAACCCACGTTTACTATATATAAGAGAGTGAGTGTTGCAGTTAAAACCGGTAGAGCTCATTCATCGCGCCTGTGCTTTGATGTCAGCTAATGATGCATCCTGCGATATGTTTTGTTCCGGGCTCCAGACTAATTGTGCTGATTAAGTTTGGCATTCAGTTGTGTTTTCAACATGTCTCATCAAAGCTGGATGGTGCCGACCATAGTTAAGGAGCTAGCTCTAGCAAGCTCTGTCACAAGATGGAGAGCTATCTATTGATCTCCTGATAAATCACCTGAGTAGGTCAAGACCTTAATGTCCAGTGACAGACATGAAGCAGCAATGTGAAATTGGCTGTCTGGAGAAAAATGTCATTAAGATTGTTTGGCCTATTGTATCTGGAGATGTAGGCAGGTGACCTGAGATCCTGATCTTCATGAATGTCTCATGCTAAGCTTTGCTTTTGTATTTAGTAACTGGGTTGATTTAAATATTTTAAGATAGTTTTAATATTCCATCTAGCTACACTGTTGAAGGAGGACAACTATCTATAATATTAGCATAACCTTTTTAAAGTCCTTTTGAACCTTGGCATCAAGACACTGCAGGCCTGACTGTCTTCCAAGAATGAGGTGTAACTTGAAATAATTAAATTCCTCTTTTTGAAGTTTCACTGTAAACATGTAACGTGCACTCATTTGGCAGTTTATTAAGTATGTTTAGACATTAAAAAAAAGTGCAGTATAAAACAGGCCTGCAAAAATTCCTGCCTCTTTGAGGGCTTTTGTTAACAGTTTAGTTAACTGTATGGTCATCCTGGAGGATGTTGTTTGAACTGTATTATGAAGGAGGATTTATTGTTGGACTGTTGTATTACAGGGTTTTCACATGACCTTAAAATCCAATAATCAGAATTTTAAGTCTTAAAATGTCTTAAACACTATTTTGATAGGCCTTTAGAATGATTGCTAATGTGTAGGTTGATTATTTTACCATTAATAAGTTGACATTACTTCTGTAATGCTGCATTATATTCAGTCGTCATGCTTTTGCAAAATGTTTTGGTGACAGTAGTACTACTGGTTGTAGTTCTTTCTCTCATCAGTTGGTATTTAACACTGTCATAAAACTACAAACGGTATACAGTTTGCATCCCGGTCACAATTTAGTCAGCTAGCACAGTGTGCTGTGTGAGATAAGTGTCTTTTCCATAGGTGGTTGACATCACTGACATTAAAAACTGAGGTGCTGCTGACTTTAGACACTAATCGACAAACACTTAACTGGTTTTTCTTAATATCATTTTGCTACATTGGATATGAAATAGGTATTATGTTGCTTTCAGAGTGGCCTAAAAAGGTCTTAAAAAGTCAAACTTGAATTTACCTTGTAGGAATTCTATATTAGTCTGCATTAGTTTTAGTTAGGTGTACCATACTGTACCAAACTGGCAAATGTGTGTACTTACCCTCTGTTGTCTGGCATTCTGAATTCTCACTGGAAAAATAATGTTTCCCTTGCAGTTTCATTCAGCATCAGATCATTTTAATTTGGGTTTACCTTCAGCCCTGTTTTGATGTTGCTAGTGCAGGATGTACTGCCAGAAAATGTTCTTTCAGCCATTAGCCTAATCAAAATAAAACATGCCTCTTAAAGTAGAAGGCTGCACTGCTTTGTTTTTCATGGTTTTGGAATATGTTTTTAAGAACATCTTGTTGCTTTTTATGTTTTTATTTGTTAGAATAACCAAAGGGAAAACATGTACTCCAAAATACAGAAATAATAATGTGCTTGATTCAGTTGTTCTGTGTCCATCAGGTCCTTTCACAGATGTAGTCACCACCAACCTCAAACTGAAGAACCCTTCTGACAGAAGTGTGTGTTTCAAAGTGAAGACGACGGCACCGCGCAGGTACTGTGTACGGCCAAACAGCGGTGTCATTGATCCTGGAGCGGCCGTCAACATCTCGGGTATGTTCTTCCGGAAACTTTTACAAAAACTTTTATTTAATCAGTTTTTTCTTCTGTAGGCAATCTTGGCCTTAGCCCACATGATTTTGTTTTTGACTTGAGAGAGATGAGGGGAAACTGAGTCAGGTCGTGGTTTGGTCACAGATCAACAACACCACATGCTAAGTTAAAGCTGAGCATCAAGAATCATAATCACAGTAAAGTATGTTGAGTACTCAAAACTTGGACATTTTAGCTTTGTTAATGCGTGAACCCAAAAATAATGACGATGCTGATTTGAGACAAATGTGTACAGATAAGTGCTGGGTAGGGTGCATGGAGGACTTGGGGACATTGCGCCGACTATAGGTGACGGTCACCCACCAGTGCCTCATCAGCGCTCCATAAGCCTACTGTGGGCTTGGTGTGTCAGTGCCCTAAAAAGCTCAAACCACAGTTGTTTTAGTCAGACAAAGATGAACCCAAGGGCTGACCACAACAGTGGCATGACAGAATTATTAGATTTTAACTGTTGCATTTAACCTATAGCATGACAACAGATCCTGTTGAAACTGGATTAGGGCCTGTACAATTAAAAAAAAAAAGAAGCAAGATGGTGATTGTTACATTGCATGAGTAAAATCTTATAATTGCAAAGAGATTTCTGGGTTTTTTTATGCTGAATGTTTTGTCAAACAATGTATTGTGTAACTTTTACCATTCATTTACAGTCATGCTGCAGCCCTTTGACTATGACCCCAATGAGAAAAGTAAACACAAATTCATGGTGCAGACAATTTTTGCTCCGCCACATGTTTCTGACATGGATGCATTGGTAAGTCTTTTTTTTTTTTTCTTCTTCTTCTTGAGTTTACAGAATGTTTTGCAAAGATATTTGAAATGTGTGCAACAATAAGGTTGTTGTAAATGTGCATCATGAAAAATAAGGATGCATCCTTGAATGTGTTGCACTTTGTGAAAGGATTATCTGATGGTGTTACTCAGCTGGTCCTTCCAAGGAAAAAAAAAAATACAGTAGCCATTAGCACAGTTGTTCAAGCATAAGGAATTTTTTATTTTTCCAATTTAGAAATGGCAGGTCAGTTTAAAACTTCTACCTTGAATGTCCCTACATATCCAAACATGGCCTTTCCTGCTACAAAAACACTGTTCACTGCACTTTACTTTAAGTGAGGGTGTCTTGGAGCCCAAACTGCTCAGAATGTGCCTCAGGTAATAAAGAGCAAAATGTACACTCTGTTTTGTATCATTACACTTGTATATATTTAAAACACAAATGACTGTTGTTTTGTAAGAGTTAAGGGCCATGTTCATGCATGATATCGCCTCAGAAATTCCCCCCACTCACACATTTTGACACTTAGGACTCATTGAAATTTTGTCATCTCTGTTATTTGAGAGTACAAGTGTTCCATTATTCATTTTATATTTTAATATTCATTTATAGCTAAAATCAGAATTTGGTCACTGACATTCAGCTGAGCTACTTAACCAGGTGAGAGCCTCAACAACTGGAGATGTTGTTTAGTTGTCCACCAGAGGACAGCAAAGGTTCAGTCAGTCCGTAGAACCTGCACATACCCTGTAGTGGCGTCCATGAAGTGGCTTATCTTGAATGAGGAGCAAAATCCAGGAAGCGGTGAGGAACAACAGAAGAGAGAGAGAGATAGTGGAATCCAGTAAGGTTACTGATTAGTCAGATGGAGTTTGTTCCATGACAGTGCTCAGCCTTATGATGTACCTTTTATTTTATACAACCCTAAAGCAGTTCTGAGCTTTATGAGCTCTTTGAATTATCAATAACTTTGTCACTGACCACAAAACAAATGACTGAGTTGAAGAGCTGACTCTATGGAAATGTGCCATTCTAAAAAATACAGACCTAAAAATGAAAATGTACATTTGTGCCTTGTGTAGGAAAATGGGGTGAAGTTTTTTATTTTTTAAATTTAAGCTGTACATATGGATGTGATGGTCATACATCTACACATGCACTGCATGTGAATAATATGAAGTAGGTTGATGCATGCATGTGTGTGTGGATAAATCCCAGCTGCTAACAGTTTGAAATCATGAATAACATGCCCATTTTTCATATCCACCAGTGGAAAGATGCAAAACCTGATGATCTCATGGATTCCAAGCTGAGATGCGTCTTTGAGCTGCCTTCTGAAAACGATAAAGTGGTAAGAAGTGCTGCCGCACATTAAAAGCAGCTTATTTCTACATAACTTTAACCATAACCTGAAGTTTCATTTTGATGACGAAGGGCTTGTCAAATACTGAACTCTGAAAAATTCCAGATCACCTTAGTTTTTTATATAAGCAATGATATGAGAAAAGTGTATAGTGCTGTGCCAATGGAAACGGTGTGTGTTGTGTGCTTTTTTTTTTGTTTGTTTACTCATGATACATTCAGCTGTTACCTACCAGGCCTTACCTAACACACTGTCATGCTGTGCCATGTAAGTTTTTCACTGGTTGAAATCTGGCAGCCCTGGGTGTGTCAGAAGTCGCACATGGCAATATTAATGTTTTGAGCTCAATGTGTGCTGGATTTCTGGTCATTCAAGTACTAAAACTATTTAAATATTTGATGTCAGATTTTTTTATCTTGTCTGTTTTGATCAAACAGATTTTGGTTTTATGGAAAACATCCACAAAGTAAGGTATTTGTAAAAGAAAAAATATCTACACAGAACAGTGCTTGCTGTATTGCACAGATGTTCAAGAGATCCATCCCTATGTGCAAGTACTGTTGGGAACATGAAGAGAGTGTAGTTTTACTTTTGAGGCATCAAAATGAATAAAGATCAATGAACAGATGCCCACTTGACCCCGTCACAGAGCCGCCACTCCTCTTCTGTAAGACTCACTGTGTCTGTTTTATATGTTTGCACATCTTGATGTTTGCTCTTGTACTTATTTGATAAACATCTACAGTATGCTGTGCTGTACATGCTTTCCATGGGTTGTGGTACAAGGGATAAGAACATCCTTGATTGTCAGCATTCATCTCCAATACTGTAGTTGTACTGTCATTACAAAGCCCTCCATTTACCCATACCATCATGTTGTCCATGCCACAAAACAAAGCCACGTCACACATGACTTCTGGAGGGCTGCATTTCCTCCCCGGTCTCTCTGATCTGGAACTTTGAGCTTCGGGGCCTCGGACAACGCTCCCATTCTTTGGCACAGGCTCCCGTCTAGAGGCTAACCTCTGTGCTTGGCTCAGGGTGTGCTGCATTCCACTTCAGTGGTTCTCTCTGTTCTCTCTCCTTGTCGGGCAGAATGACGTGGAGGCGACCAAAGCAGCCCCAGTGATGAACTCTGTGAAGGGCGACCTAACGGCAGCTGCGGCGCCAGATGATACAGAGATGAAGAAAGTGCAGGAGAAATGCAAGAGGCTGCAAGCTGAGATGAACAAGCTGGTTGAGGAGAACCGGCAATTAAAGGTTAGACATGGTAGCAAATTACATTCATAACCCAATGAAATATCGTGGCTTCATTGTGCTTTTCATGGTAATACATTTTACACAAACTAAAACAAAATGTGAAAATCATTAAGCTGCATTGTAAGAAAATCCACAGCGGGTAAAGATTTCTTTACAGGTTTAGCATGTGCTCCTGTCCACAGAGATGTCAACATCGCCGTGTTGGGATGCATCTAGAAGTACTTGACTTGCATTAAGGTTTTAATGACAGACCTCAGCTAGATGAATTGTGTGTGAAGTAGGGGTTATACAGCTTCCAGTTTTTTAAAGCCATCAGTTCTGTTTTGAAAGTCAAGTCAGCGTTGACTACTCCCCCAATTCAGAAAAGTGCAGCTAGGAGAGCGACAGGACCTGGTTTGATTCGTAATGATCCCATTATCAGGGTCAGTGGAGAACCCTGCCAGCATGTGTCCCTTGTCTGGTGTTTTGTAGTGTTTTCTCGTGAGTCTTCTGAAGCTGCGCAGCTGTATGGATTGCGGTTGTGTTTTCTTTGTCCAGGAACAGGTCAAGATGTGGCCTGTCCACTCTGATTGCAGTGTGTTCTGTGTGGAGATATCCACATACAGTCACATGTTATACCAGGGACTTCACAATTTCTGTTAATAGCAGGTGAATTCAGTTGACATGTACAGTTTTTGCTGTAGAAATACTTGTGAGCTTGTCCTGTACTGTGGTGAATCCTGCTCTGCTGTGAAATCCTTCATTTACTGTCATCTCTTTTACAGGAGGATGGTGTTAGAATGAGAAAGGTGCCTGGCTCAGACCACATGACATCAAACTCCAGTAGCCTCCTCGGACGGGAAGCGACCACTGCCTCCCTGCCCTCCCTCCTCGTTGTCATAGCAGCCATCTTCATTGGATTCTTCCTAGGGAAGTTCATCTTGTAGACTGGGAGATGCATGCCGGCCGTATTCCCCGCCCCGGCTTCGGAATCAGACAGGCCTGGAAGAATCGAGAAGTCTTTCTGTTGACTTTGCCATATCATTGGTAGTGTGGCCTACAGTGAACACATCCGTACAGCATAATTGGAAGGCGTCGCCTTTTTTTTACAGTCTCACACGGTTAGTACACACAGAGTTGAGAAAAGAAAGGCGACACAAAAGCGATTGCTCCCTTTTTTTTGTTTTTGTTTTTTCATTGCTGTATTACACAGGTAATGGTGGGACAATGAAAGATGTATACTAAAGTTGGCAGGTAAGATGCACCTAGAGCAAACCATGGGCAAGATGCAGTCAAGATTCATTTTCCCTCTGTTTTTAATAGGAATTGAATGAAATATTGTCTTGTAAATGTTTTAAATCCTTTTTAAACAAAAAAGGAAAGAACTTCCATCTAAAAGATCTTGCTACCTGTTGCTGGATTGCCTCTGAAGTAAATTTGTTCAGTTCGTAATTTCTACTTTCTTTTCTATATATATATCTATCTGTCTAATCTATCTAATCTATCTATCTATCAAATATTGACTGAACTAAGGTCTCCATTCTTAAATTCCTGTTCCATGGTATTGAGCATTGAAGAAATAAAACTGAACAAATGTGGTTTTGATAGCCATCTTTTCCTCTCTTCAGTGATACACCTTCAGATACTCACTATTTGATTCTATAAAATGAATGTTTGTGTGCCAGGGTTTCTGTCAGAACTGCCAACATTTAGCCTTGAATATGTTTTATTCTCAGCACAAGGAAAAACTGCACAATGTGTTAATGCACTTGACATCTTGGATAATAGTTATTAGCTTTCAGGTATAAGTTGCCTAGAGTCACAAAAATGGAAAATGCTTAATCCCAGGCGTCTGCTTCAAATGAAGTAGGTTCACTTTGGTTGCAGTGTAAAATGTGATTTTACATCCTTTATTCACTGACTGCACAAATCAATCAGGGCGTTTGGGTTTCTATTTGTCTACTTATTACATTTATTTAGGAAAAGGAAAGTTACTTATAAAATGATTTGATCTTGCAAGCACAGGGCCTGTTACTCAGTATTTTTGATATTGTTTTACCAGGGTAGTTTTCTACATTTGTGCCACACTAGACATTGTAGATAATGTTTTATCATTCCAGCCTGATGGGCAAAATATAGAACTTTTACCATGTGTATCTTCCACAAAGCCGAAGGCTGCAATTATTTTATGATGATGTATGATTCATACCAATCCTGGAGGACAGGGTAGCATGACGAAAGGGCATTTTATTTTGTTCCTCCCTACATGCCAGTAAAAAGAGGCAGAATTACATGTTTCATGCTTTTACTGTCTCTATGAAACAAGCTGAATGTTACTGGATACATGATCAGTTTAGATGACCGGTTACTGCTTAAAAATGTTGGAAATCCCCTGTTTCAGGTCAGTATGCCATTTTAATTGCTAAATTTGAATCATATCTATTGAACTTTTTGCTAATTATGCTTAAAAAGTGATTTTTACTTTTGTTGGTGTGTGCACGGCAGATATTTCAACGCTGGACCCGGAGAAAGTTCGGCCGCTGTTCCCACCGCCATCTAGTGCGCATGTGCAGTGGACCCCAGAACGCGGAAGTAACCCCGAAAGAAAAAAGATTGTGGTGTGCGCCAGGCGAGCAACATTCAGTGGGGAAAATAAATGGAATGCATTAATGTATTAACGTTATGAAAAAAACGTCCTCACAATACAGACATTGAAAAAAAATCTACATTTTCCCTTTAATACATCCGTGGGAAGAATGGCGGATGGTTTTCTTTTGACTTCTAAATAAGTCTGCAACTAATAATAATGTTGAGAAAACAATCTCATCACAAGTTCCATTTATTAGCTTTTTTGGAGCTTTGTCCATGCTGGCACAAGGTGAAGAAATAACTCATGACACATCTGACCCAGCTGTCAATACAAGCTTTTGATCCTTTGACAGTTTGAAGTGTCTTTAACTGGCACAGCAGAACCAACTCCAGTCCTTTGGCATCTGGATACATGATTAAGTTAAAGCTGTAGAAACCTGCAGTCTCTGTCGCTTATCCACCTGTTTACGCTCTTTAGGTGTTATGAATGGATGAAGTGTCTTGAGCTGCAGCATCTGATCGCCTCAGACTGACCCTAGAACGACATGCAGGGAAGCTGGAGGGAAGATGACAGTAAGACTTCTTCTGCAGTAAATGTACACACCGAGCATGCTTTTATTCATCCTCTAAAGCAGGATTGAAGAAGAAGGCTTGCCAGGCTTTACTTTTAGCCTTAGATTTTTTTCATGTGAATAACTGGACACCTTTGTTTCTCTGAAAACTGCCTAAATAAGACGGGGAGAGGAAAAAAAAAATATCTTTGAACCGATCATAGAGCAGTGGCTGGAAAGATAAATCTGAGAGACCTTTTTACTTTTGTTAACTTATTCTAAGTTGGTAACAAGTTTTTAACATCCAGAATTTTTACAATGCCTACATGAATAAGCTAACGCATAGTCCAAATAAGAGAAGCTTATTTAATACAACTTATGATAGGATAAAGTGAAATATGATTGACATTTGCTTTATGAGGTCAACACTGCTTTTAAGTTCTGTCCTTATGGCTTCCAAATCATTCTTTCTAGACATTCATACCATCATCCATCAGATTTGTTATGCTGAAGTGTTTATAAATAACTGGTAATCATTGGATATGATATGAAAAGATATTCTGAGGTCATACATTAGTAAAATCATTCAACTTTTGCTTAAAGAAGAAAAAAAAAGAGCGGTTTAATTTGACTTTATTTTTTGCCAGAGTGCACATTCATCATCTTGGATAAGCAGCGATGGGTAGATCCCAGTTTAGAAGAAGAGGAGTAGTGCATGGTGAGAGATGTCAACATGTTCATGACTGACCCAACAGACCTCTCCTCAGCTGAGCTGGAGATCACGATAGCAGGTACTGCCCAGTGTGCTTATCTTAAAAGTGACTTCAAAATCAAAGGCTGAGCAAATATCAGCTGCGTATGTTACCACAGTTGTCCAAATGTATGTTTTCTTTTCCAGGTGGCATACTTTATCTAGCATTAGCCACCCAGTACTTGACTTGTAACCTATTCCCTGTTAGATTTGTAGTCTTGTAGATGAAAGAACTCCTCTGGTTTTGCATGCCCCATTAATGTAAATGTCTTTTAATATTAATTGTGCAGCTCAATAAGAAACACCAGCGGGCTTGGACCTTGCCGGGTCTTCATCAGCACGGAAACTTAAATAGTTTGCACCTGTATGTTTCCGCCCTGGCCCCTGTCACCTTGAATGTAGAACAGGAGTAGAATAAGATGTGTCAAGTATATGATTAAAAAAAATTGCAATGAAAAATCTTAATTTGAAGAGCATATCTGTGTTTAGCATTTTCTACACAACATCTAACCGTTATAAGCACCAAGCAGTGAATTACCTTGTGGTCTCCCTCGGAGACCAGGTTGTTAACCTCCAAAACAAAAAACTACAAGACTCCATTACTTGCAGCTTTATACAAGTCATCCTCCACTTAGTCCTCATTTCTGGATACTCAGACCTTTAGTAATCTAGATTTAGACACGAAATCCTCTCCACTGTTGACAGGACACCATTCTTTAACATGAATTTACAGTACTTACAGTTTTTGATGTCATTAAATCCTGGCATTGCTTCCACTGTCAATAAAACCTGCCAGTATTTTGAATATTATCTTAATTTAAACAAAACAGGCTTTTCGGGCTGTTCATTAACGATGACTGGCAGCTGATGGTTTGTTTGTCTGGACTTAAATGGAGACTCCATCTCACACAGACGGCAGAAAAACTCAAAACTCACGTACTGTACTTGGCTAAAAAGGTTTCTCCACTACAAGAAAGAAATCCGTGTCAAAGACCAGTGTCCCCTAAACATTAGTGAACCTCTTGGGTGTTTAAAACAAGAGGGTGCTAACGTTAATCTAGTCCAGATATAATCAATAATACTGTTCCCACAACGCTGCCAGCCACTCTTCTGTAGACTAGTTACCACCAAGTCATGGCAACATTTCCTAGAAGCAAGTTAACAATTAACCTCCATTCTAAAGCAAAACAGCTTATGGGAAGACTAATAAAGGACAGAATATCAATAGTGTGGATGCTGACTCAGCATCCACACAACTAGGTCAGACATTATAGAACTAATTCATCCCATGTATTCTTTCAATTCACTGTGGATAAACTTGTAAGCAACTTTGAGTAGCTGACTGAGTTAAATCTATATGCATTGTCACAGATCCTGATCCTCCAAACAGCCACAAACAAGGCACCCATGGCTCTGGGGTTCATCCTTGAAGCTGCAAAGAAACCCGACTTTCCATCCAGGTACTCTACTCAGTCTTGTTTTGCTTTTGACATTAAGATTTAATATGTGAATAATTAAAATGTTGAATTTGATTAAGTAACTTCTGTGCACTTAAAACTACAGTGATCAATTTTAGTCCAGACCTACCAAAATCATGATTGTCTGGACAGGTCCACTCTCTCTTCTGAGGACCTTGCCTGCTATTGTTCTCACACTGACAGGCTGTTATGTGATATTACTCTACCCAGAGAGGCAGTTATGTGTAAAGACTTGAATTGTACTGACGCTAGTCACAAGGCAGATATCTCTTCTTTGTATTCTAATATTATCCGGGTGCTGATTGAAGCTAGTATGCCTTATTATAAAAGTAGAGAGAAGCGTAATATTAGACCTGGTTGGAACACTTATGTGGCTGAATTTAAGGCTAGAGCCCGTGATGCAACGACAGCCTGGGCTCTTGCGGGTAAACCCAGATATGGGCCACTATCTGAGCATAAAAAGCATACAAGTGCAAAATACAAATATGCCATACATTTTATTACGAAAAATGAACAAAAATTGAGGTCTGATTCTATAGCGAAAAAACTATTACGCAATGATACGAGGTCATTTTGGAAAGACGTTAAACCTATTAATAATAGTAGACTCTCCCTACCCTATACTATTGATGGAATTTCTGGCCCAGATAACATAGTTGAGTTTTAGCAGCAACATTATTGCAGTTTATTTAACTGTCTTCCCAGTGAGGTCTTCCCTGTAAGCAGGGTTGATTTTGTTGAATCTGTTAAAACCTGTGAAGTTTCTCTAGCGATAATTTGTCTGCAAATAAGTCTACTGGGCTGGGTCATATTTCTGTAGAACACCTTAAGTATGTTAGTTTGAGGTTGGCTCCTCTCTTAGCTATATGTTTTACGTCTTGTGTTACGCATGGGTTTTTGCCTGATTCTTTGATGACAGTGTTTTTAGTCCCTGTGGTGAAGGATAAAGCAGGAAAGGTCTGATAATTATAGACCCATTGCACTTGCTAATACACTTTCTAAAGTTATTGAGGCAATTCTTTTGAGCAGGTTTTGCAATCTTATTCGCTCCATTGAGAACCAATTTGGGTTTAAATCCAATCATGGCACTGATGTGTATATTTGCACTAAAAGAATTAGTTGGTAAATATAAAAGTAAGAATTCCACTTTATTTGTGTTTTTTTTAGATGCCTCTAAGGCCTTCAATAGGGTGAATTATAGGAAATTATTTCAGAAATTGTGTGATGCCTGTGTGCCTAAATATATAGTAAGATGTTTGTCTTATTGGTATGCCTGCCAGTCTATGCTTGTTAAATGGGATAATTGTATATCTGATCCTTTTCAGACCAGTAACGGGGTAAGGCAAGGTAGTTTGCTGTCCCCGATTTTATTTAACTTTTATATGAATGATCTCTCAAAAAAGTTAAGTATGTGTAGAACGGGTTGCATGGTTGGAGGTGTTGTAGTGAATCATTTAATGTATGCAGATGACCTTGTGGTATTTAGTCCTAGTTCCGCAGGTCTTCAGCAGCTCTTGAATGTGTGTTCTGTATTTGGAGATCTTTATGATGTTAATGCTGTTAAGTGTTATGATATGCCGCTCAAAAGAGGACAGGTCCCTTGTATTTCCTTTTTTAGTTAAGGGGGGTAATATTTTAACTGTATGCAATGAAGTTAAGTATCTGGGTCATGTTATAAATGATTGTTAGACCGATGATGGGGATATGTAGCGGCAGTGCCGTATGTGCAAGCAAATGTATTGGCATGGAAATTTGGTTCATGCTTGGATGGGGTAAAATTGACTATTTAGAGCGTATTGTTCTTCTTTGTACACTGCCCATCTATGGTCTAATTATAAAAAAGGCAGTCTTTGGAAATTGACTGCGGCTTGTAATGATGCCTTGAGACTATTACTGAAAAGGCCTAGATGGGTGAGTGCCAGTGAATTGTTTGTGTCACTACGAGTTAGTACTTTATACATCCGTTTTTTTAAAACGGCTGATAAATTTATCTGTCGCTTGAATAGCTCTGAAAACCACATTGTTTTATTGTTCACTAATGGTGCATATAGGGACATGCAATATACATCAGTACTCTGGTATACTTGCCTCTTAAAGGGATGGTGGACTGGCTGTTTTGTGGTGGTTAAGCAATTCTCTAAAATACCAAATTAGGCTTCATAGTCATAGGTAGTCCTGCTTTTCAGACTGCATGTGGGGTTTCATTCATGTTAAGGGCAACTTCAAAACTGACAACTTTACTACAGTCAACCTTGTAGAATTTAAGAATATTTGTATAATACTGAAACACTGCACATCTTAATTTGTTTGCAATTTTGTTTTAGTGCATGTTCAAGAGTGAGTGGGGACAATGGAGCTGAGACTGTGGATGTTGGAGGCTGTGGTAAGGGAAGCTTCAGGGAGAAGTGTCCCCAACCAAAGAACATCTTAAAGTGAGTTCTCCCTTAATTGGTTTACATGCTTCAGTGGAATGTCCTCCACACTTGGTGTTAAGGTGGACCAAAGGTTTACAGAACAAAATAACCTAAGTCTATTTTGTCTTTGTTTTTCCCCACAGCCTGCCCCCAATCCAAGATAGCAGCTATCTGATCAGTGACCGACTAAAAAAAAAAAAGTCTCTTTACAATGCACAGAAAACAGCCTGTGAACGAGAGACTTTTATTGTATCAGCATGGTCTTTATTTGGAATAGACGACAAAACTGCTGCTGAGTTCAGGCTATAGTTAAAGAAGTACTGTAAATAAAAGTACTGTAGTTCCCTTTTAGTGTAAACAGTGACACACAGGCCATCTCCTCAAGACAGGGAGCTTATTGTCAGTTTACTGTAGAAAATGTTTCCACATATCAGTTTTTTGCCGTAACGAACCAAGAAATTACTTGGTAGTTGTAGGTAAATACACTCTATAAAACACTCATGTCCATGTGAATATATACTCGCTGTCACTTTATTCATGTACTATTGTATGCAGGTCAATGCAACACTTCTGCCTTAACATCTGTGTTTATGAAGCTCAAAATGGTTGTACTGGTGGTGTTGTACTGGACATTATATTCAGTGGTGTGTCTATTTTTGTCCTCCCCAGCTACATACAGGAGTTCTTTAGAATATTAGGAACACCACTGAATATAATGTCCAGTACAACACCACCTTTAACTGTCGCCTCAATAATAAACCTAATTGAATGTATACATGACAATTTCCCCAAAAACAAACATTTTGAGCGTCATAAATACTGATGTTAAGGTGGAAGTGTTGCACTCATTTGTATACAAGTGTACCTAATAAAGTGGCCAGTGAATGTATAAACATCACTGGAAAGAGACAAGTCAACCTTTGGTTCTACTTTAAAGTGCAGTTTCTGTGGTGCAGCAGTGTCCAGTCTTTGGTATCTGGGGAGGAGTTCAGAGGATCAGGGTGCACTGGTTTTTATCCTGATTCTCATCAGAAAGGGAAAGTTGAAGTTACATTAGTTTTAACAACCAGTCTCCCCGTCTGCTCCTGTAATCCACACTCTTCTTTTGTCTTTGTGTAGAAGAAGCCTAGACATCTCTCTAGCTTTGCCAGAAGAGGAGCAGAGATGTAACAAATGCGACAAAAGCCACAGTGATGCGTTTCTGGCTGTCTCTGTGCCAGCCTGTGGCGTCACTGTGGGGAAGCAGAGCACTGTCGCCGTCGTGTCCTTGGCTATAATCAGACAGCTGACTGCTTGACGAGCACTGGACCAGGGGCGTCTGGTAAGAGGTGGCCCGTTTCTCTGGCCGATCAGGGCTGGAGCCGTCGCTGGGACGCTGGCCGTTGTAGAGCAGGTGGTGGTCGTGGGCGTCCTGTTCCATGCGGAAGAGCTCATACTCTGTATGGGGGAGTCGGATACCCAGTGCCACGCAGCCATTTGTTACGGTGACATCCTGCTCCACCCCAAGCTGCCAGGATCCCTGCACTCCACACTCATTGCTGTTGAAAACATTCAGGAGGGAGGTTGTGGCCAGGTCCATGGGTGTCACTCTCATGTGGTTCACTAGACGAAGGAAGACAAGAAGACCTGTTAGCTCCAGGCAGGAGAAATGGAGTGCTCAGAAGAAGCCTGTTGCAACACAGACACCATGAGACTCAACTATCAGTGGGCCTCATGCAATACCCACTTGTATGAACACATTTGACACCACCAAGTGATTTAAAGGAGAACTTCAGGGTGTTAAAGCTCCAGGGGGGATATTGGACTCAACTCCATCCCTGTACATTTCCATTCTGATCTACTACAACTGCTGTAAATGTAGTGATCATTAGTCCTGTGAAGAAGGGCAGACTTGCATGTAAGAGAAAGTTCCTAATACAAGAAAGGTAGTGAATGCCTGCTCTTAAAGGATAACGTATTAAACCTGCTGTGTTTCCCCTAAAAGTAGGTACGCTGACTCTATAGGTACGCTGATTTTGTTATCACCTCTTCACTGTAGAAATGAAAGGTTGTGTTAAACAGTGTCACTGGGACAATCGGTTAGCCTCAGAATAAACCTGATGTCAGTCAAATCATTTTTCATGTTCGAGTCTGCCAACATGAGATCTGAGCTGCAGTCTGGGGTAGCCATTACAGCAAGTTGGCCCAGATGTATATTCCTATGCAGTTAGCTGTAATGGCTAGCTCAAGCTGCAGCCCAAGTCTTGTATTTGCTTTTCTTTTGACTCAGAGATGTTTCTCCACATCTCTACAACAACGATAGTGAAATTAGGATTAGCTGTAGAGTCACCGTACCCAATTAGAGGGGAAACACAGCAGGTTTAATACACTCAAGTTATCCTCTAAGAGTGTGTGCAGCATTCACTACCTTTCTTGTAACTAACACTAACTTTCTCTTATGTACAAGTCTGCCCTTCTTCACAGGACTAATGATCACGACATTTACAGCTGTTGTAATAGATCAGAATAGAAGTGTACAGGAGCAGTTGGGTCCAATATCCCCCTGGAGCCTTAAACGGGGTCTTGACACTAGTGGTGAAGCTACAAGGTGGTGTAGACTACATTGACAGCATAGCTAAGGTGATCATTGGCTGATGGGAACTACTGGAAACCAAACCCAGTGAAATGATTGGACAATAGAAAGTAGAGCCTCAGCATGATGATGAAATGAGGCTGCTGACAGTTGTCTTCCTACTGGAATTTACAATAAAAGCTTCATTAGTTGTTGCTGGCCCCTGATGAAACGTTTAGCACAAGTTCAAGCAGGAGGACAACTGGCAGCCAGAACGAAAACTACTACGATTTAAGTACCTCAAACCTCAGCAGAGAAAACACTAATCTGTTTGCACATTTATAATCCTGATTTAAATCACTCGGGGTGCTCCAGACTTTCCTCTCTGATAATAATGTATTTAACTAAAACATGGCTGTAAGACAAGAGAATTGCACAGTTACCTTTGAAAACAAAGTCAGTCCCGCCCATGACTCGAGTGGAGTGAAGCCCTCGGCTGTAGCGTCCACGTGCATAGATGGTGAAGGTGGGGTGTTTACAGACTGGGTCAGAGTAGTGGTAGTAGTGGCCCTCCCAGGTGTGGTTATTGTCATGGAAAATGAAGTGGCGGGTGAGGAAGAGGACCTCAGGGCGAACTTCGCAGCGCTGGCTCACCCACTGGCCGTACAAGCCAACAGTCAGGTCGGCCTGCGGCGGCAGGATGGGAGGATGGAACTCATCAGAGCGGTAGATAATACGACAGGCCATGCAGCCCTGGTCATGATTCTGAAAACAAAAGGAGGGAAAGGTGTTACAAAGGTATATGGCCAACTGAATAAGAGCACCTTGTAGTCAGAGTGCTGACATACCTGGAAAATTAAATAAATCTGGCAATGAACATGGTTAACAAGTGTCAGCATCATCTACTCAACACTTCTTGGTAACACAAAATCCAGCTATATATATATATACACACATACACACACACATTCCATAAGCACTTTGACATTATAATGAACATGTTTTCTTTGGTAATGTACAATATTTGTAATTTCTCTAACCCATTTTATATTACATTTGTTTTACACATATACTATGACTTTCTTTCTATACTACAAGGTATAGGATTTGAAAATCTCCAACTGTGGCGCCCCCACATGGTAGATGCTGTAATCACAACAAATTACACTAAGGCCAATTATTTAATATCGACATTATTGGCAGATTTTCAGTGATTTACAATGTGGTAGATTATTTTTCTTTATGTTATACAGATTTTCTTTTTAAACCGGATAATAGTTAATCATTTTTATATTAAAAAAATTAAAGCTTGCACTAAATTAAATAGCACATGTTACATTTAACAAACTTGTCTGTACTTGCTGGTGATCAAACAACATAGAGCAGACCATGTACTAATGTAAAGTATCTGCAATAAACCACTTCTGGTCAATGGATCACTTGGGTTCAAATGGAGGAGAGTGTAAAAAAAAATAAAAAACCCTGAAGGACTTCAGTTTTCACAATGACCCAGAATCACAAAAAGCTGTTGTGACTAAACTGTTTACAAAGTCAAGAGTTGAAGTTGCTGCTCAACATCACTGTATAAAAATATCCAGCATGTTCCCTAAAACCTGTCAGTGCTCAGAGCTTTTTCTTTCCATCTTCGGTATATTGTGCCATGAAACTCGCATAAAGAACGGCTGGCATCTGTTCAGAGGTGGAGGAGGAAAACTATTTCCTTCAGGCTGAACCTCTGGAGTGTTGGAAGCCGGACAACGTTCCAGCATTTTCTCAGACTGATCATTTTGCAGTAAAAGATGTCTGGTCAAACAAAAACCACGACAGCAGGAAGCCACACGGCAACCAAGCTTTTGTGCTCCTTTACAAACGCTGGGACATCTGCTATTCACCCTCACTGACAAAAGAGATTTTTGTAAATCCATGAATGACTATTAATCATATTCAGTTCACGTCATTTCTGGTTTGGTGGAGTCCCAGAGCAACATTTGACCACACTATCCACAGACAGGACAGCTGTGGGTCTCAGGCTGCAGAAAAAACCAGAGGGTCTGACAGATTCAGCGGCGGTTAGGTTTTTGTTATTTGAGGGTGGTCAGTATTTAAGACCCAACCTTTCTGATCCAATCAAACATAATGTCTGAATAAGATTTATAGAGTTTAAAATAAAGGAAATGAAGAATAGTAAGGCAAGGAGGTGAAAATGGCGTATCACTACAGCCTACAGATGAGCTAATCCCAGTGCAGCTTTATAACTGCCTCAGAGAGGTTAATGGGACTGAAAGGGAGGACTCCTCTGAATCCAGCTTATGCACACGAGTATGTTTCACTAGTGTGTATCCTCTTCTGACTAAAATATAGAGAAAGGAAAAAGAAATAAATACAGTATACAGAGAGAAAACTATTTCCAGTACATGGATTGTAGCATATATGTATATACATGGAGACAATAAAAAGAGAGAAGATGGGAGCAGGTGTGGAAAACCTGTTCCAGAGCCCATAAAACACAGACAGACTGGGGAGTCAACAATGAAGACATCTTCCTTCAACGCATACTCACCTATCACCGGATGAGGGGTTCGTTTGGAGAGGGCAACGTAAAGCTACATAAGTCTTTTAAATAATTTTTACATTCAATCACAGATACCAAATACTGAGCACTAACTGTGCTTCACTTGCATCTATACTAACTGTAAAAAAGTTAATACACAGCAGTCTCTTTTCCACAACCCTGAGTTGTATCTGCAAGGCTACATACAGCCCCAACAAGCTCCAGTAAAAAGGTCGAGCAGCCTGTATATGGCCTGGGAGGCAAAGATCGGGGCTGTAAATGGCCTGAGAAGCACTAGCTACTGCATTAAAGGACAAGGCTGGTCCATTTCTATATTAAGAGCATTTTCAACACTCCCCATACACAGACTAAACCCAACAATGAATCGCCTCTGCTCACTGTTAATGTCTGTCAGTCCTGGATTAGCTTGTTAATCTGTGCCACTGACCTCCACTGTTGTTCAAAAATGATTAAAAACACATCAGGGAAACACCCCACTGTGATGAGTGACACATTTCCTCATTACAGAACAAAACCCCGATATTTGTTAAGAATATTAAGAGATCTTGTGCAAGGACCCTTGAGTCTTGCTTACTTCAGATGCTATAAAGTTATTTTTATCAAATATTAGACTTTTCAGTTTCATAATGAGGAAAAATGTCACTGATGTGTTTTTAAACATCAGGGAAATGAAACTGATTTCTCAAAATGACTCTCCAAAACCTAAACTGTTCAGTTTGCTCTCTAATAAGACAAAAAAACAATGTCTTAAATGAATAATTGATTAACAAAATCACTGCAAATGAATTTTGCAAGTCAGCTTATGACTATTAGCAAAATGTTCTTCTTACTCCAAGTATTTAGGGATCTGTAATTGCAAGTAAAAAGTAGTACAATAGAGCTTTACATTCGCAAACCCTTTTCACTGCAACCTGTCTAAACTGATTCAATCAACTGATGTTACACAACAAGGGATAAACAGAAATGCCGCTCTAACAAACTCTCCTCCACTGGAGTGGATGTATGCATGGATCAGCTGCTTCACAGTGCGATGTTGCAAATGAACATAAAACGAAACTAGAGGTCACAAACTAACTTTATATTTAACAGCAAATGGTTAGCAAGCAGGCTTTCTTGCCACAGAGCCACTACACTGTCTGACTTGTACAAGCTTGTGTTGCTATGAATTTTTTGGATACACTTCATGAAAACCCAGAAAAGCCTTCATCACAAATGAGTCCCTGCATGAGGAATAGATGTAAAAACACAATCAAAGCTGAAACACTTCACCAGGAACAATAATACAACTAGAATTACCGCCTCATGGCTGTGTGCCTCCACCAACCAGTCAAGCTGCAGTTCACAGGCACGTCTGTCCACACTCATAATACATGTAGCACAGAAGGAATTTAATAAAAGATATTAACTACTTTTTGACAAAATGGAAGTTATCACTATACTGACATGCATGATTCTAGTGAAAATTTCCAATGAGAAACATGCTGTCTTCAGTTTAAGGCTATTCTTACAGAGGAACAGAGAGATGGACCTTTGTCACATCATCGTTGAGTCCAAGTGGACATTTTTGCCAAAACTGGGGGGAAAAAGTTACTGAAATAACACATTGACGAGAATGGGAAGGACATGAGGTCACAGTGACCTTTGACCACCAAAATCTAATCAGTCCACCCTTGAGCGGACATTTGTGCTAAACTTGAATGAATTGCCTTAAAGTTTTTCTGAGATATCGCGTTCACAAGAACGGGGCAGCTGGACAAACGACCTGGAAACATCACGCCAGTGCGGAGGCATAAAAAACAGATCCCTTCAAATCAAGTGGTGGTCAAGTGGCCTCAGTGACACAGCAGCAAACTAGGCGACAGAATACGAAGAAAACAAACCTAAAATAAAGTCTGCTGCCTTGCTATTGCATCACTGCTAAAGGTCCACACAGTAACCACAAATGAACACGTTTGCTCCAGAAAACATTCTGGACTGGAACCAGTCCTGGGTACATGGCTTAAGACTAATGGATCGGATGGTCACCATGGCAGTAAAAAGTCCTTTAAAGACACCATTATAACATAAAGAAATGGTCGAGTTGAAAGCACTTTGTGTAGGAAGGAGTGAGGAATTTTCTACTGCTGTTCACCACAACATATACAAGTCAACGCCTACATCATGGACAGTAACGAGCGAGACTGAGGACGCTGTAGGGCAAAACGTTCACTCAGATTTGTAATCATGTACGACTGTTAATAAATGGAGATGATCTAGACGTCCTATGTACAAGCTGCAATTTCTACTATTAGTTTAGAACTTTTAATCAATGAACACAACCTTTATAACATCACACTGCAAGGCTAGAGACCACCAGAAGTGAGAAATTTGCTTATCTGTAATAATAGACTGAGCCTTTAAGGCAATTCTCATACTATGTTAGACTAACCACAACTTTGAAAGTGCACCTAAAAGTAAATTACAGCTCCACCAACACCCTGCCTTCCTCATTATTTAGTAGAAATAAAGCACATGTAGCCATTTGATTTGAGCCTCAGGCATGCATGAAATCAGACTTGGTATACGCTCAATGGAATAATTCATACTGTATGGCCTCATGATTACAAATTCTAGGAATACCACATGGTGATCCCTCCCAGAGATAGGCCGGGTTTCACATTACACCTCTGCAGGCCAGAGGGGCTTCAAGAGAGCAGTTCTGGTCAGTGCAGCGCCACAGGGGAGCTCGTGTGATCACAGCTCCTTACTGCACACACAGTTTACATTCTGATCAGCAACACCAAGCCCCATCATCCCCATAAAAATGGATGTTTATTTAGACAGTGGACTAGAACAGGATTTCATTGTAATCTCTGTGGAGGGTGTCAGTGAAAACATCACTCTAGGATTTCAGCCAGTGGGGAAACTGCTGCTCAGCAGTGTAAACAGAGACATTACATCCTATAAGCACAGTTGAGGAAAGAAAGGGCTCTTTCTTAATGCTCAAGCTGGGAGGTGACATCAGTATGTACAGAGTTTCTGGTTTCTATCAGTGCAAATGTTTAGTGTACAAGGTTATTTCAAGTTTTAGTCTCTTTGATGCTACAGGTGGATGGAGATCGAATTTGATTGCATCAACACAAAAATTATTTCTTATTCCTCATTAATGAAACCAAAACTTCCTTTCATACTGCCTTAGACAGTTTTTTTTGTTGCATCATATAGCCTTGTCACTTTAAGACTATTCTGGTGTGTGCGGTCTTGGTAGAGTCGAGGGCTGACACAGCGGGAGTGGAGATCAGCAGGGGTCAGACACCAAACTGCGTGCTTGGGACAGAAAACAACTTCTACCTCCGGCCTGGTTGTGTGTTCCAAAAGACACTAAAACGCAGTTTGGGGATGGGTAAGAATTCTCATCCTGGTTGCTGCACCAGCCAGATCGTTATTTGTCAGGAAGGGCACAAGCACAGTGGGGCTTTTCTGTGTGTCTGCAACTGGCCCCAAAACCAACTTTGCAAATGCCACTATCATTTCTGTCCTGGTTGCCATTAGCAGCTGTTTTAAGTGGCAGAAATTCTGCACCCCACACAGTTCCTGTGCTGGGAATCTTTAAGTTTAACTAACATCTATGGCATCGTTTCGTTTGTGAGCCCCTAATATATATAGATAGTCTCCGAGAAGTTTCCCTTCCTCATTTCATTTATGTAAATAGTTTTCAGAAGCCTGAGCAGCAGAAACTATCCAACATTTGACAAGTAGCAAAATGTAAAACTACAAGACAAACCTAAAAAAAAATTCCCTTTTCTTGCTGTCCTGTCCCTGTAATTATCTCACAACCCCTTAAGACCCCTTCATCTTACAACCTCTAGCAGGAGGGAAACCAATAGTCTAAAAATTCCAGGAGCCCTGGAAAAAACATTGTTTTTGGTCTAGAAAGAAGTGAGAATCACAGTTCTCCCTCATCCCTCTAAACTAAATGAGAGATGAGATTAAGGGCCTGACCTTGGCATTTTGGAGGGCGATCTGGTAGCTGGATGGCTTGTAGTACAGCCTCTGCGAGGGCTCGGTGTGGATGTCTCCTAGAAACAGCTCCTCCACCAGATGATCCAGGTTGTGATGCAGGTACTGCTTCTCCACCCGCAGCAGCTGCAGCTCATGCATGGTAAAGTTAAGCTCCTTGGAGCAGTCATAGCCGCCCTCCTCACTCCACAGTTCATAGATCACACTAGGATCCCAAGGGCCTGTCACCGCCCCTGGACAGCTGCGGCTGAGCCTCTGGCTGAATTCTTTCGCCACGGTGGCCGTGTGACATACCATTTGGACGCGGTGGAGATGGTACTCTGCCTCTGTGCCACCACGGATGATCCAGGAAGCCTGGCGTAAGCGCAGACGCCCCCGGATCACCAGCGTGTAGGTGGGTTTGGTGCAGTGGTTGTCCTCGTAGTAGAACTGGTGAGCCTGGAAGGTGTTGTTCGGGTAAAACCTGTAGGAGCGTGTCAGAAACTCTGGGCCTGGTCTCACCTCACAGCTGCAACAGAACACAGAGGAGGTTCTGGATAAACGCCATGCAAGTCAAAACATTTTTCCATAAATACCAGAAGTTTGAAGTTGGTCCAGGGCTGCATTTAGGCGGATTAAGGCCTTTTATACTTTTGTTTCTTTTGCACAGGAACATATTTCAGTCAAGCTGCCATTTAGAAGAGTTTCATGTCAGAAGTGCATGTTATTTCAACAACAGTGTACTAGTATTGTGTACTAGATATTGAGTAAATTGAAAATACCGTTCAATTCATTTCAGTAGAAAAGGAAAACCTGTTTTCAGATTAAAGTGAACATTTCAGTCCAGTTCCTTTAGTTCAAAATGAGGTTTGGGTTGTGTGGAAATGTAGACACCATTTTTGAACAATTCTTCTGTGTTGTATCCAAGGAAACTGTTGCAATTGCTAAACAACAAACCACTAAACATTAAGACTGAGAAAAGAACATTGGGAATTCGATCAATAAAGATCTGAGGTCTTCAGCAGATTAGCATAAACTACTGCAAACACACCAACAAATTTCAAAGCAGTTTCTGCTCGCTCCACAAAAATGTGATACAAGCCTCTGACTTAAAAGAAAAAGGGCAGAAAACTCTGCAAATTCATTTTTGAACTGTAGGCATGAGGTGACAGTAAGCAGTCCCTCTATACACTCGCAATATGTTTTATGAAATCTCTGCAGTGCTGTTACAAATAGTACTGTATGTGTAGCTTATAGCTGGTGCAAAAACACCTATATGGTACATCTATGACTGGAAGGGCTTCAATAACATCACCTAAACTATTCAAGGCCACAGGTCATATTATAAAGCCCTTGTTAAAATATAAAGGTATCTATAGGTATAAGATTATGTATAATTATGTAAAATGTCTCTATACGTCTGTAAAACGGATACACAAACATGTTTACCTGGTGGACACCCAGTGACCCTCTATGTTGGGAGGCATCTGCACAGTGATTCGAGCTCCATGGTGAAGGTGTTTCAGCATGCGTTGGCACTGGGAGTCTTTGTCGTATCGGCCGAAGGTTTTCTCCAGGGAGAGACGGCTGGAGCGGCCGTCTGAGTAGTGACGAGAGGAACCTCTAGCACAGCCTGGGGGAACAAGGACGACAATGAAGATTTAACTCAGCTGAGATTTTACTGTCATTCATTTACTTGTCGTGATCCTAAAGTAATAAGATTATCAAAAGTACAATACTGAAATGATGCTTGATGTGCCACCCAGCAACATTTGACACGTTATATAAACCACTAAAGATGCAGCCTAGTTTGGCAAAGCCTTTTCTTTTGGACTTTTAAATCCCAATAACTGGACCACAACTCTTTTCCAGGCAACTAATAATAAGATAATTACTCTCAGGTCAAATGGTTGCTTTGTTAGTCTGAAGTTAGCGCTCATGTTTTTAATCTGCCGTGCCGATTACAGTGCTTTATCAGTGATCCGCAACACTTGGTATAAATGGAGTCTTTATAGGTTAATATCTGATCATGTGATGAAAAGTCCAAACTTAGATGCTCGTGTTAAACAACTAACAGGTGTCTTTCTGCTCCACAGCAAAATTGAACCAACAAACACGATCTCTTTGACATCAAGCTACAAACAAAGTTGAAAGGACGAGAGCAGCAGTGAGAGAACACAGTTCCCAGCCTGCACCACATGAGATAACTATGCCTTCAACAACGGCCTCAGCTTAAGGGGATAAAATATCAGAAATGAAAGCTTCCAGCCAAAGAAAAGCATCACAGCTCACATTCCAGTGAGGATTTATTTCATGTAATCCTCTAATGTCATCCAAATCTACAATGAAATATGAAGACTTATTGCCTTAAATTCTTTCTGCTGGACCCAGCTTGCCTGGCGATATCATTTAACACCGAGGTATGCCACTGCGGTTAACTCTGTGTTTTTAATCTGAGACCAACAACACTGAGGGAGGAACGAAAACATCTGATTAAAAGAAGCCATGAAGTACAAAGCTCCATCCAGCTGTTTTACACCCAGCGCTGCAGCTCTGACTGTGTGTTAGCTGAGGCTCGAGTGTAAATGACCACTTCAGAGCGCTGCTCAGTGGAAACTGGACTGTGGGGAGACTCGATTCCCCCCACCCCCCCACTCAGCTGGTGGCATTAGCACCACTTCTCTGCTGGCTACAGCTGTGTTAAAACTTAAGGAAAATTCTTCTCACTTTGCTGCATGCGTGTGTGTTTTCACGTTGTGTGGGAGGACCTTCTTCTTGCACCTGGAATCAGGCTTGAGGCAGGGGAAAGACCCTGAGTGGCTACCACACAGGGAGGAGAGCAGCACACCGGCTACCAGTGTGTCTGCAAGTTTATACTTCCATATTGAAAAAGTACAGTAAATATGTTGTGCGTGTTTATGCATGGAACTCTATGCATACTTACTTTCATTATCAGTCAACCTGCCAACTCTTCCCAACTATGTATCATGGATGCATCTGATTAGAAAGAACATGTCCTGGGCCCCATGCATTTTATGCCAGTTTCTTCTGAAAAACTGCTAGACTAGAAACCCTCCTCTAGTCCAGCTGATGTCATGCACTCTTACATTTTTATTGGGCGTTTGGGATATGGCTGTCCCATATGCTCAATGTAACGAGCACTCCCCTTTCCACCGGCGGTGTCCCTCACTACTTTAAAACTGCTTGTGTCCAGCCTCTTAAAAAAACCTGGCCTTGATCCCTCTGTCTACAAAAACATCAGACCAGTTTCCAAACATCCATTTACTGCCAAAATCTTAGATCACTCTGTCTCAACACAGCTTCTGGAAGTCAAAAGTATTCTTGAAAACGTTCAAATGCTGGAGACTTCCGTTCCTTTTCTACTAAACTTAGAGTATGTGCAGCTTTTGATGCAGTGGATCACAGTATCCTGACAAACAGGCTTCTGGTCTATTGGCGACATGCTTACAGTTTTTATTTCAGCATGCAGCACCTCATCTATTGCCCTAGTAACATGGGGAGTACCCCAGGGTTCAACTTTAGGCCAAATCTTGTTTTCACTATAGATGCTTCCCCATACACTGACACAGCGTTTTGTTTCATTGTTATGTGGATGACACTCGGATATACTGTAGCTTCCCACAAAGTCGACACCTCTGATCTGTCTCGTCTGGTTAGTTGTCCAGCAAATGTAAAAGACTGGATGTCTGCAAATTTCATGGACTTCCTGCTTTCTCCTGTCTTAAAAAGATGCGTGAAGTTCAAACTGAAAGCCGATTCATATTTTAGTCTGTAAATAATTTGAATAATATTTTTAAAAGTCTAGCACGCGCCTTACTTTGCTGATTTTAAAAGTGAATAGACCTCTGCTGTATTGGATGTTAGGCAATAATCTGATGTTAGACTGAGCCGTAGTTTAATTTGTGGTTTGGTGAAAATATAATGAAAAAGTGAGCGTTATTTACAATAATTTTAAACACTTAGAAATTGTTTTACAAAGAGCTACAGTACATCAAAGCCAAATAAATAAACAATCAAAAGGAGGTCGTAGCCTGTTTGTAAAATTACTTTTTAAAGAGGAAGCATCTCCTCCTAGACACATTTGAAAAGTGTCAAAATGTTCAAATGTGTGACTTTCTTCCAGCAGCCTAACTTTAAAAAACAACCTCTCCCCTCATTAGGGAAATAATCAGAACAGCTGGACTTGAACCCCTCTCCAGTCTCTACAATATGCTGCTCTCTGTTGAAATCAAAGCACCCACAAAACTCCCAGCGCCTTTGACCACAGAGAGCGTTTCCAGTTGGCCCAATCCCACTGGTGAGCTAACAGCACCAGGACCCCTGACAAGCTGAGAGGCTCCACATCATTTATGGGAAGAGAAAAATCCACAAGTGCCCGAGCAGAGACCAGACAAAGGGCTGTTCTTTGCGTTATCTCAGAACTTGGCAGTGACCATCAAGTACTTGAAGGGAGTATTGAAAACAATGTGACACTTGTGGACCAAAATAACTTAAACCAGAGGGGGAAATAACCAAGTACAATAATACAATGTTGCTTGAGTATTTCTATTTTGGGATGTTTTCTACATGTAGCTACTTCACTGGAAATATCGAACTGTTTACACTTCATATTTATCTGACAACTAGTTTAGTGTTCGTTTACCCAGATCTGGATTTTACAGCATGAAGAGCTTCTGCCAGCACCTCTAAATGCTAATATGCACATGCTAACATGCATCAGAGAGTCAAAGCAAATACCAGATATGGTTTTGTGATTTACACCCTTTCTACATCTGCCTCTCCTCTGTCTGTCTTTCTTGGTTTATTTGAACTTGTGGCCGCCCTTTCCTTCTGTTGTTTTAGTTCAACTGCATTTGTCTGGCTTGATGGTGAGGACAGTTCCCCTGGATGTGAAATTATTTTGCCACTTTTCTAACTGGTGCCTTTGTGATAACAGCACTGGTTATTGGAGCTGTCAGGCATCTCATGCTGCTTTGAAAACTCACATCAGAGTGCTGACTTTCAGAAAACCTGAATCCGGCATCCACCCTAATATGACCCTATTTTTATTCAATTTTAAAATATTTTCCTATATTTGTGTACCAGCTTTAACAATCCATTAGAATAAATAATATAATGCACAGTAAAGGTTATAATTTGACATTTACTGTGAGTTTATATTCACTGTTAATGTCACCGCCGGTAGTAAAGCCAAACCAAATTTGACTGTGCACTTGTAAAGATGTTTCTTTCTATAGTCTGTTATTTTGTCTATTTCCTGTAGCGGCAATGAGCAAAACTAGACAGAAACTCACATCTTCATGTTTTTAGAAATGGAGAAAAGACGGAACTACCTGGACAGACATAAAAACATAGGGGTTAAACAAAACAGTTAGCTCATTCTTGTACATTTTAAAATAGCTGATTAGGGCAGATAAGGAAAACTTAAAGACCCTGTTGAGGACCAGCTCAGTGATAAGGTGAAAATACAAGCAGCAGCAGCCGAGTCCATTTCTTCTCACTCTTTACTTTGCTGTTTCACTCTCCTACAGTTTGCTGAGGTTTTCTCTCCCAGTAAATTCAAAACACACACTGATCCAAGTATTTTTATTGCCACTATGAAAGGTTGCAATAACGCACCACTTAACTGAACGTTAGATTCACTTAAACACACTTAAGTGGACTCCAAAATATTGTTTCATCTCAACCTGGTCATTTGAAGTTGCACTGTCACTGACAGCAGATGGATTGGGTCAACTGCTGTCCCATAATCCTCTGCTGCTCAGACAGGGTTTTCATCAGGAATGATGTTTTTAAGTGGCCCCGGGAAGCTTTGCATAGCCTTTTAGACTTCAAACATGTAACCACTGTGGATACATCAGACACGGTAGACAGCCATGATGGTAAACAGGTGTGCTGAAGTGAGCTGACCTTGTCCGGTTCCTACCTGACGAGTAACACACTTCAAATTCCATTGAGATTTCTAAAAATACAATAAATAATTGGGGTTTTTTTAAAGGCAAAGCAAAGATTCTTTCATAGTGCAAGTATTTTGGCTACACATGTGAAGACAAGGAAGAACAATTTTTTAAAATCTATTTTAAAGAATATGGAAAAGCGTCTCACCTAAAAAAGCAACGAGAAGCAGCGTAGATGACGGCCCCATTCCGCACGTCGGGGGTCTGAGGCGAGTTTCACTGGTCACAATGGCGAGTTCACGGTTTTCTTTACACTGCGTCCTGGTTAATTCCGACACAAATGCTCACATCATGGATCCAAAGCGCGGCGCAAACAGTACAGCGACGTCCAAACATCGTAGGAAGCACAGCTCCGCTTCGCTAGAGATGGGAAAACCTCGACCTGAGGTTCAAAACAGATAACTGCACCTGCAAAATGGCATGAACCCTCTTCGACTAGACGAGCTGAAGGAATTAAAGGCTGCAGTCAACGTGAAAACGCGACGACTCTGTTGATTTCGCGCGCGTCCTCAGTGCGTCCTGCGCCCTGGAGGAGTGTCGGTAGTGTGTTCAGAGACTCACCCCCAGCCTCTGTGTGGATTCGGTGGGCGTGGAGTGTGTGTTGATGGTTTCTCCCGTTAGGTGCGCACTGGATTTGAATACAGCCAGACTTTAACTTGGTCAGGGGACATTTCTCACTGCATGTGTTTGACCTTTTCAGACCTTTCTTGGAGAAAAATACATAAATCATTCAACATAAACAAACATAACTCATAGAATCTTTAGGGCAGACTATAACCAGAATATCTGATGCGTTTTGTTTTGTTTATTTATTTATTTGCCTTAAAACCCAGAAACAATCCCTTTTATGTGCAAACAAGCTCAAAATAAAATGGTAACTGTTTTTAAACTTTTTATGCTTACAGTCCTGATCCTGGTCTCTTTTAAAATGTACATTTGTGCTACTGATTAAGAACCAGATTTACAATGGCACAAACCTGGTAAAATGTGAGGGTTTATGTTCTGACTCTTGTGGTAAAATAAGCAGTTGCTGTTGCAGTGATATTGGCTTAAATGGTTTAGAAGATAACATCTAACATTGTCTGAACTTAACTAGTGGAAACATTGTCTCAGCTTTACAGTTGAGTTGTTTGTTTCCAACATCCTCCTTGTTATCACTCATAATGAATGCTGCACATTTTTCTTGACCATGGCTTCTCATAGTCTGCCTGTCCTGAGGGAAGAATTAAGCTCCTGAGTTTTTTTTCCCCCCAGCACCTGTTGTGTGTGAGAGAGACCTTGGCCTTGAGTTTCAGTCTCTTTTCAGCTTGTAGCTCTTTGCTGTTTTCTCTCTGATCTTTTGACCCAGAGGCAGCAACTCATTGATCCTCTCACTCAGACACTGAGCCCTTATACACCGATAGTTTTACTATCATGCATTGCTTTTCTTTGTTGAAACCAGATGACTACATTACCCACAATGCAACCCACTCACTGACAGTTTGGTTGAACATTTGGGTGTATATGCTAATTTGAACCTTTAGCCTCAAGCAGAGAAGGGGAGCTGGCTGCAGAGGTTTGGTAAAGTCTCTTCTTTCTAGAGCGTGGAGACCCCTCAGTACCCGAGGGTTCGGGCCAGGTTCGGACAAGAATTTAGAAATTATGTTGAGGTTCAGGTTGGTTTTGGACACATAGGTCAAACTTTAGGCTAGATGGCTAGAGCTCTCAAATGTCAGCTTTCTTTAATGACGGGGGGGGGGAAATCACTGGGTCAGGTCTGGACATTATATATTATAAGCTTGTTGGGTCCAGGTTGGGTTTGGACATCACTCTCTGACATGGGTCTGGTTCGAACAGAAATATGGGGCCCGATCCATGATCCATCCTCTACTTCTTTCTAACATCACATGCCCAAAGTTTTTTCACCTTGAAGCTTGCGATCTTCAGCTCCAGACAGCGCTGACTCAAATGACATCCCTTAAGGACATTTTCAGATTTTAAACAGCTCCCTTGGGAGACCCACAAGACTTTATATAACCTTTTTCACCCAACTACTGCCAGCACCCGTCAACAGACTTTCAAACGTAAAACCAGTCAAGGTCCCTTGTTAAACTCACAGACTAATAGGACAGTCCGTACAGTATCAACCTATACAAACAAACATGGTTCACATTTTTTTTTTTTATTCTATTACCTACGTTTCCAATGATTACAAATAGTTCATGCTGAACTTTAGGGAAATGTGTAAAGAATTATGCACGAGACATCTAGACGACTTCCCCTTGATGGAATGGTGCGGCCACAATATTGATTTGATTTCAATAGTTCAATCATTTTAAACATGATTACGCTCCAGTGAAGAGCTGGAACAAGCTGATACATAATTAATGCTGCAACAGTTACATTAATTTATGTCAGCAATATTCCATTCAGAGAGATTTAAAGTTGCACATTCTCACATTTGTAAAGCTGGAACCAGTGCTTACTTGGCAGTTATTGTTGTTAATTAAATAAATAAATAATAGTTGCTGACTAATTTTCTGTTGATCAGCTAATCGTGGCAGAATTTTGACAAAAGACATTTTTGAACCATGAGCGGAAAAGAGGAAAATTTGGTTAAAAAGGTATCTTATAAAGTTAAACTTCTTGAGTGCTAAAATGCTTTGCAGTGTGAAGTTTGCATCCGTGCACATGTAGAGAGAAGAGATTCTGAAAGAGGCCTCTTCAGACACAAAACTGTATTTCATGTGCTTATCCAATAATCCTCCAACCCTTAATCAGTAGAGCAATGCTCCACTGAGGGAGTTCTAATTAATTTCTATTGTTTGTGGTCTTAACCCTCGTGGCTGCCTCCCTCAGTAGGCTCCATGGTATTTGTTCATTTTCCTCCAATCCTGAAGCCTTGCTCTGGGAGAGTGACTCCAGCCTTCCTCTCTGTCTTAATTCCTTCTCTTCTCAGGATGTGCCAAAGCCGCAGAGCGAGATCCGGACAAACAGACTCATGGGATTTGGGAGAAGTCCGGAAGAGGTATTAATCAGAGGGTTGTATAGAGGAGAGGCTGGAGGCAGGGAGGTGAAACTGGGGCACTTGTTCTGGTGTGCTGACCCCTGTGTTGTCCTGTGTGGCTAATCAAAGCATCACTGCACTCTCTTTGTGTCTCTGTAGGAATGTGATCTATGTGAGGTGGAAATAAGACTGCTTTGATTCTCAAAGGGCACAATGAGTGTGTAAAACCATTGAAAACCTGCATCCAACTTATTTGCCATCACATTTCCTATAAGAATTGTCATTGTGCAGTGTGGTTACAGTTTTGCCTGTAAGAGCGGGAATGTATTATTCTCTCTTTCTAACATGTTTTTTGTATTACTCCTTTATCATCAGTGTCCCTAAACGTGTCAGAGCGGATGAATGTGAGCTGCCTCTCTGTTTCTGATTAAAGCCATATTCTGAAGATGTGAATGACTGTTTTCTGTTTGTGTCTCACTTCAGTTTTCCCTGTAGAGTTTTGAATCATTTCTAGAAGGTGTTGTAAAACACAGAATGAGATGGGAGTGGTGCACAGTGAACATAAAACTCACTGACTTATGGGATATTAATTGTTGAACTGTTGATTGTTTGTTACTGTAGGCCAGAGGTGTTACTGACAACAATACCACCAAGTGACATGTGAGCTGTCGTCTTGCTGTGCAGACAATCAAACCACAGAACAAACTGGAGCAAACTGATGACAGAATACAATTATACTGTCAGACAGTGTGGAAAAAGATCTTTCTTCCTGTGTTAAATCTACTCTACATAATTTCCTTCCAGCTGCTAGAGAGTCTAGTGAGACTCAATTGACATCATAAATCGCTCTTTGCCTTTCCTATCACATCCTATTTCCTAGTGGCGATGTAAACTACAGATGCCTGCTTGAAGCAAACTGTACACAACGCAGCCTCCAGTCCAAAGCTAGTGTTAGCTGTAGGTGACAGATGAGCACTGATGTTACAAAAAGTCGGAATTACTTCCTAATTAAAATCCAATTAATTCAATACAAAGGTAAAACCGTGACCATGCTAGGTCACTAATGTTACCAACATTAACACAAAACCACAGCTGAATCACATCCGAGTGCTCCAGGTGCATTAACGTGCTTCATCTCAAAAAGCCAAACCAATGTTAACCCTGGTTTCTTTGTCCCACTCCTTCAACCTTCAACACAAAAAGGTCAGACCTGACTAAAAGTTCGGAAGTGAGCAATAAAACTTGTAATGTGAATGTAGCTGAAGTTCCATGTGCAAACCAATGGAAAAATTAGTCTGTGAAAACATCAGTAGACTATAATGCTTGTGTCTGGGTTTGGAGAGAGTCTAAAAGAATAACTCTGCAGAAATGCCACCAGGATTATTGTGGCTTGGCTTTGGAGACCTAAAATTTGAAAGCCAGAATTGCAAATTGTAGTTTATAAAATGAGCACATTTACTAATTGGGTGAGTATTCACACGGAAGCCCAGTGTTCATGTGGGAGCACATAGCCACATATTTTTATGGTAATAATTTTAGGTCTTCAAATCCACCCTGAGCTAACCCTGATAATATCATGTGGGGTTCTTTTCTCAGACTGTAGGAAACATTTCCAGAGCCACAGAAGACATTGTAGAACCAAGGTTGTGAGATAAAACATGTAAAATGTATTTTCAAGCATTTATCAAAGCACATTTGCTCCAAGTGCAGAAGGACGACTGATCCTCAGCCACATCTATTGTTTCCCTGCCTCCAGGCAAACAATGACTGAAACATATGAAGTTCCCTAGAGCTTGGTTCATTTCAATATGGTTGACATCTGCTGCTGCAGAGACAATTGAAACGATACTGTTAAATAAATCCAGACTGAGAGCGGGAAACAGAGGTGGGGGGTGTGGAGTCTTGTCATCTGTGTCACAGTGCTATACACTTCCATATGCAATTACAGATCCAAATGAGGAGACTTTCCTCAAAATAAGGGTCAAGGGGAATTATCTATGAAAAAAGCCCTAGAAACAACTGGAAGAAACGTTGAAGCTGAAGGTTTTTTCCAATCAATTATATAAAAAACTTTTTTTGTATCACTTATAATCCCAAGGCTTTTATACACAACTCCCAGTAGCTTAAATTCAACTGCCATCCCATAGGAAGGCCCAGATGTTACAGTAACATTTTTAGTGATTACCTCCAGGTCCTTCTGCTTTGAGAGCTTTCTGTGAGGTGACTGACAGCAGCACTGACCTGAAAACACCCGGCACAGAGGAATAATGATGAAGCTGGACCACTGACAGAATCCATGAGCTGTCATGTTTCCTGTTTACCCTGGACAGTTTTCAGGACTTCTGAGGTTGCTACTCATAGTGGACCAGAATGAGCTGAGCAGCAAATGTCTCCAACTGAAGGAAGAAAAGCAAGAAAGTGTTGAAGATGGAAAGAAAGAAAAAGCACAATTGTTTGGGACAAACCAGAGAAACATAAAATGACAGATATCAATGATGCAGCATCACCCTTTTGCCTTTTGACGCCTTTTCAAGGTGGGATTGGTGCGCCTTTATTCCGTCTGGTCA